TTTATAATACGCTAATTACTTAACTAAAAACTTATAAAAATAATTAAAACTAAATAAATAATTATTATATATAAAAATATATACTTAAAGTTATATTATTATATTTTATAACTAAAAACTCTTAGGCTAAATAGTAAAGCTTAGAACCCTTAATAATTATAATATAAAAGGTCTTACTAAATATATAGTATTAGTACTTAAAGGTCTAGCTACTACTTACTAGTATATATTAACTTAAAGAGTCGCTATATAGTACGCTCTAAATGTACTATAGGTACTTAAAGTCTCTTTAGAAGATAGGCTCTAGGGTCCTAGTGTACTTCGTCTCCTTCTTCTTCTTCTCCTCCTCCTCCTCATCTAACTCCTCCTCTCTTTCTATAAACCTTATTATATTTATTACTATTCAATTAAGTTAACATAAAGTTTAAATCAAATACAAAGAAATATAATATATAATTATTTTAGGCTATAGCCTAAGCTCTTAAGGCTATATTAAAGTAGGCCTAGGCACTAGGAGAGAAAGGCAACTCTAAATCATCCTTATCCTTACCTGTAGTATCTATAGGGAAGTCATCTAAGAAAAGAGGCTATAAGCTATCCTCTTTATCATTAACCTCTTTACTACTATAGCCTCTAGTAAAAAAAGTCTACTCTTATATATTAATACTACTTAAAATATAAAGGACTTAGCTAAAAGATAAATATATAAGAAGAGAAGGGACTATAAACTAGTTACTAGAGAAATTAAGAGAGCTATTACTCTCTTTATTATCCCTATACACTTTGTTATACTTTTTAAGTTAAGCTATATATGTTATAATAATATAGGTATATATAATAGCTTTTTTATTAGATTTTAGAGGTATTTATTTTTAAATATTAATATTATATAAAGAGCTTATAATATAAATAAATATATATATATATAATAAAAATAAAAATATTTTAAATATATAGTTATTATTATTATAAATAAATAAATAAAAAAAAAACTTTTTTATTAAACTAAAAGAAAATAATATTATTAAAAAAAATAAGTATTTAATTTAATAATTAATTAATTAATTAAAGGCTATTAATTTAATTAAATTATTTAAAAGTAATAAAAAAAAATAGTTTTTTTATTATTAATAACTAAATATAATATTATATAACTATTTCTTTTATATTTATTACTTTAAAAATAAATATTTATTTTTTTATTTATTTTTTTAAAGTAATTCTTTTATATATAATTATTATTAAATATATAATAGTTAAAATCTATTAATCTACTTAGAGGGGTATATTACAATACCCTTACGCATATCGCATAGCCTTATAAGATTTGCGCTAGGCCCAGATTAACTATTAGTCCAGTCCCTTCATGCAGATCCACCACGCAGGATACGTATTTATTCGTTTCAGACAAAACAATCCTACACATAGAAATCTAAGCCGTTTTCCTTATGTCTTTTCCACCCTAAGTGGTGACTCTACGACAGATTCATTTGGTGGGTACTTGTCACTTCTAACGACAATGACATGGCATCCAGCGGCTGAACGCAGAGGAGCCCGATTATGAGAGTGCTTATCAAACTACAAATGTACTGGAGGGCCAGAGGGCCAGACTGTTGGCTTATCTTGTGCAAGTGGCTTCCGCAGTGCCACGCCCGGCATCGAGATAGACAGAAGACAAAAACAGGTCGTGATTGGACCGAACGCCTGCATAATGCGGGGTATACCGGGGAGATCGCAGCGTCCTTGGTCCGGAACCCTTTGAACCCTGGTCGCTCCTAACCCCCCTGGCTTTCTTATCGCCGCGACTCCAAAAAGACCGAAGAGTCTGCGGGATCTCTCGACTTCTATCTTCTCTCTCCTGGTACTGTTTGGGTTTCTCAAACGCCTTGCTAACAAGAGACCAGATCTATAGAATGCTCGCTACCCGGCGTTAAGGCCATTCGTATAGAGCTCTGGCAACAACAGGAAGTCATTCGTTAAGGTATTGGGTCTGATGGGGGCTTCATGTTTGTGTGCCTGTGACGGTGTGAATGGCTTGACCAATCTGTACAAGCGCCTAGCAGCCGGTACAAGCTAATGTTGCCTAACTCTGAGGAAGAATGCGTTTTTTCCCTCGGAGTCAGGACTCCCCCCAGAACCCAGACCATAAGCTTTTATCCGCACTCGCACATGCTTTGCTGCAGGACTGAGGTTACAGGGGAAGGCAGACCTATGGTCAACGTATCGGTCTGCGACCTGTACTGTTATCCCGTTGCAAGGGTAACCATTGAGCTAGGTACTTCAGCAAGCTCGGCCATCAAAAAACCCCACGGCCAATCAGCAATATTGTTGGCTTATCGCATATCAACCAAGGTACCTTAAACTACTATGTACAAATATCGTCATAAGTTGTCCGCCCCCCCGCGTTTCTGGGCCGCTACTGATGGGCCGTGCTACGAATCTGAACCCCATTAGATCACGATGAAGACTGGCGACCGGTAACTTTTGGAACGCACCTGGCCGTCTGCTCCTAGCCTCTTTGTCTTTCTTTTCTGCTTGTTTGTCAAGCCTGAACTCGTTGAAACGATACCTCCACCGCTTTGAATACAGCAATTATCCTGTGCCGCACGTTCGTCCATCTCATCGACCATAGTTCAATGGTACCCCCGAAGAACTTCAAGTCAGCTACGAAAACCAGAGCCGGTCTCAGCCCTAGGTCGAGATCAGGTTGCGTCACCTGCAAAGCCAAACACGTACTGTCCCAATGATCCAGTAGCCAATGGAGCTTATTCACTAATTCCGACATTGAATGGCACAGTTGAAATGTGACGAGACACGACCTGCATGCCAACAGTGCACACGAAAAGGAATCAAGTGTGGAGGATTTGCTCAGGGTTTGCGATGGTCGTTTAAACACCAACCCGCTCTCCAAGTCTTGACTATCGAAGAATTCAATACCACGCCGACTCCTTCGAAACGACCGACTGGCGAAGCACCTGAGGATCAGACTCGTGCCAAAAGAGCAAGTTCCGGTTTATCCGACACTAGTTCCCCAACGAATAGACATCCAATTTCTTCATCGTCGTCTAGAAGCTCCGTTCCAGACGAAGAAGGACGGCAGAGATATGGAAGCATCACGCCGTCTGCCGGCGTGAGCGATGATGGTTTCGGGGAGAGGGCGCCTGTGACATTGGAAGAGTCTATCTCGCCTCGGCAGGCATCCGTCAGCGCTATAGTCCAAACAAGGAATCCTTTGTCGGCCAACTCTCAGAGCCAGCTTGCTCCCTACTCTTTAGCGCCTAGTCTCGCTGACACTTCTTCGGCATTTGTTATCAACTGGTTCGAACAAGTCTGCCCAGCATGGTCCGGATTTGACTCGAATACAAACCTCAACCGGAAGATAGCCATCGACCTATGGCGGACATCTGCGACGGTTTGCAGCTCCCTCGAAAGCATGTCTGCCGCTTTCCTGGCATCGCGTCTTCCCAGCATGCGACAGTCAGCATTACGACTCATGCAGAGAGCTACGGATTTCATTCAAGCCGAGCTTGAGGTTGTCAAAGCCCAACCCGATTTTCGCATGGTCCCGACCGGCCTAATATTCTCACTCTTCTGTCTAGGTACCACCGTTTGCTGGGTAGATTCACGTCTTTATGGGCTTCCTTTCCTCAGAGAAGCAAGGTCTCTCATCCGACAGCTCAATGCACAATCAGCTACGTTCTCTAGCTCAAACCAAGATATGCTATTGTTCTTCAACAAGAGTTTGGCGTACTGTGAGATGCTTCTTTCAGTCGTTCGCGACGACGAGCCTTTGGATCAAGAGAACAATGACTTAACGACTCAACTTCAAATCATCGAAGAACGGTCACCCCATCCGTGGACAGGAGTATCCACTATCACAACGCGACTTTTTTCGGAATGCATTCGGCTTTGTCGGAGTGCTCGCCATCGTCTACGGCAAGCCATCGATCCTCAAAAATACTTTTCGAGCGCTTTACAAGACTTAATAGGGGCCCAGCGACTTGAGGAGCAGCTTCTGGAGCTGGAGTTCCCCTCAGAGAATCCAGAAGTCGACACTGGTGACAGCTCAACCCCCGTCTCTCACCTTGCGAGAGTGGCCGAAGCATACAGACTTTCTTCACTTTTGCACCTTTACCAAACTTTCCCTGATCTGGTCTCGCTACGTCTTCCTGCCGAATCGCCCATGACCGAGAGTGGGTCAGTGCCGTGGGACGAATGGATCATTCCCTTAGCCCTGAGACTGGTCAAGGTGCTTGAGCATATCCCGGCCACTTCAGGGACACGTGTTATCCAGCCACTGTTGTACATCTCAGCGAGTACAGGACTGAGGCACGACACACCAGCCGCATCCGACATGTTCTGCGCTTTTGGTTCCCTTCAACAAGATTTGATGGGTGGCACTGGGTCGAACAGGGTCAACCCGCCACCATTGTTTGACTCCCATAACCTATCGCTATACATCAGCCAGATGGCAGATGCACCGGCACGCGAGGGTTCGATGTCAAACATGACTCTTGACGTCAGTAGTGCTCGGCATTTTGTGATGAGACGCTTGAGTATCTTGGAAAGCAGTCTTCCGCCAACACCAGTTATCGTGGCGAAGGAGCTTGTTCAAACCATCTGGAGAGCATACGACAACGATATTGGATCACCCACGGTTCACTGGATTGATGTTATGGAGGATAATGACTTACGTTCAATGTTTGGATAATGACGCGCTTGTGATTTAGTGAGGCGGCTTCCGGCGTCCACATGTATTGGTTGCTAGATGGATTCCAAGCATTGATTCTGGGAGGATTAGGGAAGTTGGAACAATTACAGGGACCTATTTAGTGGTAGGTACGGCATGATAGATTGAATTTTGATACGTCATAACTATATGTAGATTGCTACAAGTGGCCGCGATTACTACTTCTTCATGGCATTCCAAGTTGCACAGTTGCGAAGATGCCACCAGTATATACTGAAAGCATTGAGGCGTCAAGCTGCGCAATAAACAATTAAAAATCGCTCTTCTTCCGTTGACCGACGTAAAAGGCTAGACCGTAGTCGGTTGTCGTAAAGGTAATCGTCGAGCCTTTCGGGAAATAGAAAACGTCGCCAGGCTTGGCCTCGACCTTCTGGCCAGTCTCATCGGATATCGTGTAGTCGCCCTCCAGAATTATCTTCATCTCGTCGTACTTGTATGTGTATGTGAGGGGCTCGCCCTTCTTAAGGCGGAATAACCCAGATGAGATGGGCTTCTCGGGATTCGCTTCATCGCTAGAGAAGACATCGCCGAGGTAGGCATTGTCGCCGGCGAGGAGGGGGATTTGGAAAGCTGATTGGGCTTTTGCGTAGTGTTGGAAGGCAGCCATGGTGAAGTAAAAGGCTTGGGTTTCAAAATAATGGATTGGACGTAAAATATCGATAGCTTCTTGTTGTAGAATGATTTTTTGTGCTAATGAATGAGCAACATCTAACTTACAGAGCCTGGTATATATAGAGGGCATGACAAGGAAGAGCTGTCTAAGAATACCTCTTTTGGCCATGCTCAAGACAACATTCAGGTAATGAGAAACAAGACGTATAGGAACAAGGTTCGGTTTCAATCCCGCAATTTTGCTCATGAATTGATCAGACTCTTGATGCGATAGATAGGCCGATAGGGTAAAGTTTCCTCATCCGGACAAGGTCTCCGATTCATCTCGGGACTGTCAAGTGGAGAACCCTTCCTCAAAGGCAGCCGATTTTGCGGGGAATGAGTCTAGAGAAAAGATACGGACGTGTTACGTCTCCCCAATCGGCTGAAGGGAGGCTTTGGTGGAAGCGTTTTCCTAATGCATAGTTGCGTCAACAATCTGTCCAGACTGATAATGACACTTAGTTTCCCTCACCCTCCTAACAAATCTGACTCTCAGTTCGTGACTTCTAGACGCTTTGATATGTTCTGACTGTCCCAAACCTTGTGTCCAATAACATCTACCGGTCCATCACCTCATCATGGCGCTTCTGAGTCTATTTCCCCTCAGTTCAGAGGGATGGAAGCTGCTCATCGGACTCTTCGCTCTTTTGTCCGCAGGTATCCTCTCGCGATCTCTCGGCGCCTTGCGACGAAGGAAGCGCGCCACTTATGGCAACAAGTCAGTTACAAAAAGCCATGGAAGGCTCAAACAGGACTCCGATTCATGGCAAATGCCTATCCCCAATCCTTACCCCGACTGGTCCATCGAAGAAACAAAGCCACTCCCTTATCGCGCGTTTCGATATGGTCCGAAGTACAACGTCACGATGGGGCTTCGCTCCATTCATCCAGAAGAATGGATTGAACTCGATAACCACTTTCCCAAATATCATGCCGACAAGACAGCTCGGATCCGGGAGAGAGCCGAGAAATGCTATGGGACTGCCCCCGAGGCCTATCCAGCAGCTATGGAGCTATTAGAGGAGCTGGTTCAGTATCTGCCTGCACGATACCCTACGCTCTTCAAACGGACTGCTGTGGGAATCGACAATAAATGGTCCGGAGAGTCTTTTAACATCGTTGAGACCCCTCTCAAAGAGGACCCTATGGCTATAGCTGCCAAGCTGGTCCAGGACGACCTCGCCATCATGATGGAGCGACCAGATGGTAAATACTACCTTCTTGCCGGGGCCATCCTCCTTGCGGGCTTTTGGAGGCTGAGCGACAAGTTTGGCATGTCTCTCGAGGAAATTCATACTTCAGGCGACGTGCCTCATTACAAGGAAAAGCTACACAACGGCATGTCCAGCTTCTTCAAGCGTCTACGCTGCGACCAGGTTTACTCTCGCAACAATTACTTCATTCAAGTTGACGACTCGCTGCCTTGGAGCTGGAGTATCGGTGAAGAAGATAGTCCGGTTGTCAGCTGGAGTACAGCTGAGAAAAACAGGGCTATCGAGCATCACTACTTTCGCTCGGAGAGACAATCTTTACGTCGACTTCCTAAGAGTAAGGCGATTGTATTTACGATTCGCACCTACTTCCATCCCATCACAGAGTTAGCTTCAGAGAAGTACGTTCCTGGCAGGCTGGCAAGCGCGATACGCAGCTGGGACGAGAAAGTTGCCGATTACAAGGGACGAGAAAAATACGAGACAGTGTTATTGGAGTATCTTGACAGCGAGCATCAAAAGCAACTGGCTCAAGGGTTGGACTTGGAAAAGGAGGACGAAGTTCGACGGTATCCATGGTGAACCTTGTGGAACATGTAGAGTAATGGAAAGACCAGTCACAAGGTATATGAATAGTACAAGCAACGCATGACACACATCTAAATACTCTGAATTTGGGAGCACCTATACCCACTTTGTTCCCTGGACGAATAAAAATCTGTACCTTTACCAATACCGTGAAAAAGGTCTCTCCACGGCAGAGCTACGATACTAAAATATGAGGCTTGGATTTGCGTGCTAATGACATTGAATGTTGAAGTGATCAAAATTGACCTGCAGCGACGCACCAATCCTATTGCATGCTAGTGTGCCAGCCAGGGTTTGGTTGCAATCTCCTCCTGCAAAGAAATTGACGGTGCAGTTACAACTGTTCCCTCTTGCTTTATTAACAATTACCCCACAAGCACCGTTGATTGCCGTGAAACATTCGCTGACGCCTGACCGAGACAAGTATCCGTATCCGAGGTTTTGCCCAGTGCAGCTCCCAGGCTGACCTGATCCAACGTAAGCAGACACGGCGCAGAAAGCTGCGAAGGACACTTTTGTGAAAAATGCAGCAGCAATAACGACAGCTTGCTTCATGGTTGATATGGTTTTGCGATGTTTCGCTCAACTGAGATCAAGCTTTAGTATCAATTCAGATTTAATAGCCGAACGATGATAATCCCGGACAAGTTCCAGACTTACACGTAGTAACGAAACGAACACAATGCTAGGGTTTGTGTAGTTCGTATTGAAAGTAAGTGATGGAATGAGAGAGAGATAAGAAAACATATTGTTTTGGGGTTGCAAAACCCCCCTTTTTAATAGTCCACGCAGCGCAAGATTGTCTTGTTCTGTGTGACAAGATTGTGATACCTGAAATCTAGGTCACCGTGAAGCGTCATACAGATTCTGCAGGTCGCCTACGAACATTATATGCATTGGCCTGGTGACCTGAAAACATTTCCTTTTGTTCTATTATCTGTAGGGGCTCTATCATTCAGAGGCAAGTTTATAACAATTCTGTCTTCGTACACCAAGACCTGCTAGCAGTTTCTCGACAGCTGTCCATATATCGTACTCCTAATTAGAAAGTAGGCAGCTTCAATCCCGTTGGCATCGTTTCCTGATTCTAACACCATGCGACACAAGAAGGATAGCTAATCACCAATCACAGTATTTTCGGTCCAGAAGAAAAAAAGTACAATAGTTTCTAGCTACCTGAGTTTTTCGGCGGCTTGGACTATTCACATAATTCGAAATTAAACCAAGCTCACACTGGTTCAAAAGAAGCTGTTTCTTGCTGTCCATACTACCACAGATATCCATGTACCCGAGATACACTGCCTTTTTAAAGACCAGCATGTTATAGATCCTTGGGTGCAGGGGCAGCTTCCGAATCATTAGCTAGCAAATCCTCGACTTTTGCGCCTCTACGACGTCTCTCCTCCAAAGAGATCTCCTGTTTAGGTGATGTAGACCAGCCCAATCCCAGTTCAGGGTACTGGAGAGGAACATCGCCATCAGCCGGTAAAACATCCAAGTAAATTGGCCATGGTGTACCCATCCAGGCATTCCGAGTCTCATGGTCCTGTCGTTGACTCGAAGTCAAGGGGTGGACAAGAACGCTTGAAACTGTTAGACAAAGGACCAAGAAGATTGTCACGGTCAACTTGATGTACCCAAATGGCGATGGGGCTGATCAAACTAGTGACACTCCGAACCAAGGCCGAGTACAAACTCACCTTAAGTTACCTCTATTTGATGCCAAGTAGAAGAAAACATCCGAAAATGAGGAGTCCGGTACCCAAACTAGATGGGGTTAACCGCTTATCCACCCGCTAGGGAGCAAGAATTCAGAGTACAGCAGTAAAACTCAATGCACTGAGCATCTGTCTCGTCCTATGAGCTAGCTTCACTTACTTTCATACGATCCGGCTGGATGCGGTCCCATGGGATGCTCATTAACTCTGAACAGTGGGACAGCAACGAACGCACCTAGAGAGAAATACAGCAAATCAACATTTCACATCTCCTAGTCTTAATACCATTTGCCCAACCTACCATCACGGCGCAGCCTCAAGACGGCATCGCGGAGGGCGAGTGCGGCAGCAGTCTCCTTTGGGGACTGCAGCAAAAAATAGATATGGAAATGCCACTCTCGCGTGCGACTCTCGACAACTGTTTTCAAGTCAGTTTGTGGCGTCGGCGGCGTTGAATGAGTGACCACGGTCATTGTGAACGGTAAATGCTTGGCTCTCTCAATTGAGAAGTCGTTTGTTCTCGAGTCAGCGTCGAGGAAATGGGTGATGGATGATTGAAGAGCAGGAGTTAAACATGACGAGTCAGGGTGCGGAGTAACAACCATCCAATCACGCCATCTTTGTGATTCTCACGTGAGGGCGTTGACCATGGGCATTCGGCTAAAAACGGGATATCAACAGGGCAAGATGTTGGGACTGGGCACATTTAGTGTGTTCAATAATGATAACAAATTCGTATTCACAACGTAAGGAAAGCTCTGCAGAAAGCACTGACAGACGCCAGCAAAGTTTCATAAGAAAACAAAATGAATTAAAGCAAACGTATAGAATTGTAAAACTTATAAAAGCCCGGCTAACGCCGAACACTGCCATCACCTATCAGCAACGATGCGCGTTTCGTTCTTATGCAACGAGATTTCTCCCTGACACTCATCACTATGTCCACACGCAATAAAGTGCAATATATAGAGTAGCGGTTTCTACTCTTGGCTTTCGTCTAATCGTTTTTCATCTGTTTGCAATTGTGACACTTGTCCTGGCTTCGGCAGTCCGGCCACCCGGCTGGTGGTTTCTGCATTTTCTGAAATACCTTGGTGTCCATTGAGTTCTCGTTGACCCAGTCCAGTAACGCGTCAAAGTTGTGACAAAATCTACGGTTCATAAGTCTGAAAATAGCTGCTCCCAACACTCCACCCGCTTGAACGTGATCATGCGCACTGATCCTGTGCACATGATTGCTTGGGCTGATATCAAAAAAGTGGCCAGTGTGGGCTTGGTGCTGCAATCTTCCAGGCTTGGGCCCTTCATTTGGCTCACAATCTGTTTCGTACTGTCAGCTGTCCGCTTTTCAACCCACCCCGCGATATTTAGGGATGGCTAACAATGCTCAAGTGAAATTTCTCTGCGGAGCATATCGAGGCAATGGAGGTGATGAAACCCTCGGTTTGAGCGATGTAGGCTTCTGCGCCGTAGTCTAGCTCCTCTGAAATTTTGACAGCGACGTTTGGGTCCTTACCCAGTCGCCTCACACTTGCCGCTCCAATCACCAACGGCCAAACATGGTCGCCAATACGATGCCACTCCTTGTCTGCTTCTCTGCCCGCTCTTTGGCGGAGTGTTGACGGCGGGCTCGTGTCATGCAAAGTGTCATTCACTGCTCTTTCCATTTTTGGTATGTCGAATCCTTCCAAGATAGGACCTGAGATATCAAGTGAGTACAAGGATTTATAACACAACGATACATCACGAATCAGTTAAACCACTCAAAATAGAAAGACATTGCTTTCCAATGTTCTTGGGGACGCTTGGCTGTTTATTGGAAGCTTCGGTCCAGAATAGTGGAAGCGTGCAGGGTGATCAAGTCTATAGAGAGCGGTCATCCCCTATAGCTACGCAAGATGCCTTTACCCAGCAGTGAATCAGCTGTGCTGATCAGAGCATATTATGCCCTGACCAGGCTTAGCTGGAACGCTATGGATAAATTAGGGGCTCCCAAAGTTCTTGTGTAGAGGTGATCGGGGTGTTGGTCATCACGAAAGACAGAAAGGATGCTCCCTTGAGCGTGCAAGAGTCTGATGAGTGTGTGTTGGTTGTGTATGTCTGATCTAAGTCCTTCTGTGTCTTCGAGGTTTCTATATCTCTGATCAGACCTTGCTTAGCTAAGAAATCAAAGAAACTAAACGCAGAGACCACCGCAATGGGAGCAGGAAACCCTGACCCGTTCCAATAGCAAGACGCAAGATGCGATAAACATGATGCTGTGCACAAGAGTCAACCAACCAAATTACTGTTCAATTGTATCTGAAGATAAGACAATTCAATCGCTAGTGTAGTTACGAATGCTAGATTTGACGGACGGCAAAAATGCTTTATCAAGATCACTGTGCTCTTCAGAAGCCAGAGAAGAGGCCTTGTCGTCATGCATGAGTGTCAACAGGTCGCTGGAGTCCCGTTGCGTCTCAGGCATTATGACGGTTACAGTTTCTGGATGAATGAAAGCATGCATGCCACGAAGAGATGCCTAAGATATGGCAAAAGAGACTTCAATCTTGCGAAGATTTGAGCGGGGAGACAGCTTCTGGCTGGTGACAAGAAGGTACTTTCCAGCGGTCAGTAGCAACGACTTATTGCATGCAGATTTCACATTAGGAAATTTTGATGCAGCCCACAGCTAATGCAGCCAGCGAGTTATCTACCTTCCTGGGTAACACTAAATATTCCTCAACGTTGTAACATCCGCTTCTTACGACTCCACCGCATGACGCTGTACGATTCCTTCGGCTCCATCTTCAAGCTTGGCAGAGAAACGCAAACCAGTGTGCGATACGGAATGTTCCTGGTTTTCTTGGTAGTGAACTGGCTGTCAATATGACCGTCTCCATACGGCATGTGTGAGACCTTCCGATGCAGTCCCGCCACAATGATAGAAACATTATCTCATGGATTGTGTCGAAAAGAAGCGACAGCCCAACAGATACTCTTACTTCACCCTGAAATATATAATCATAGACGTCTGTGATTGGTGGGGGGCAGATTTCCCGTCATCACAAAATCACGACTTACAGTTTTGGGTGCTTGCTGTAATGATTCGTATAACCGATACTACGACGCGCGTCTTCTCCCAAGGCATTGGAAAGACTTTGTCTCCCCAAATGAACCCGACACCACAGGCAAAACTTGGAGATATTGGCATGACAAGAATCAGACTCACCCCATCACCATCTCAGAAGTCAGTCAACTGCTAGAAGCCGCCCACCACGGCGATCATACGCGTTT